CCGCGGGTGCCAGTTGTATTTGTCAGAGGATATTTTCCCTCAGTTTGTAAGCCGCTGTGGATAAGACATCGCTGCCTGGTGGGGTATCAAAAAAGCACCTCCACCTTCACATGTGGAGAGGGTTGTGACAATCAAGGCTGTCACTGTGGCTTCTGCCACCAGCCCCTCCCACCTGTGCAGCAGTAGGCTCCTGCTGTCAGGAACTTAGCTTGTGGTGAGAGACAAGTTCCCACATCCTGTTGAGAAGGGGCCTCGCACTGACTCCAGCCTCAGAGGCTCAGCTGACTGGAACTCACTACAGCCCTTTTGCAATGGCATGGAGAGATGTTCGAATGGATTCGTGGCCGAGGTCAACCAAGAAGTGAAGAAATAATTTCCCAACTCCTCTGTGATCAGCCACAGAGAAATTCAAGTACAAGTCAGTCCCTCAGCCAGTATGTTTAATATATATTGTGGGAAAAAGCTCCAGGCCTGAAGGGAATGTTTCCATGGGAGGAGGCATGTTCCTAAAGGGGGAAAGGAAAATAAAATCAATCCCTTGCTTTCATGTCTCACCAAGTAGACAGTGTACACACTAAATATGCAAATTATAATTAGCTCATTGTTTGTGCAATGCTGTTGGAGGGAAACAAATATCATTGCCAGTCTGTTGTTCTGCAGGCTTACCCTCTACATATTTGATTAGGGCTTTGTGCTAAGTATTATATTCTCATCTTCCATTACCTCTAACTTCATAACTTTATTGTGTAGTTTCTGATAATAAGGAGTTTCAAGAATATTTATTTTAAGATTTAAAAAAAAAAGCCTTCTTCCAAATGTGTGAGGTAAAACAGATGAAATATCTTCAAGGAGCAGAGATAGCATTCCGCTTCGTGAATTTGTGTGTGAATGTGCACACACATGTGTGCATATGTGCACATACATGTTGTGAGTGTCTGTGCACAAGAGGGGAGAAGAGCTTGGTTGTGCAAAACCTATCTGTCATCGTCCTTCTTCTGCAAAGCAAACCACTATGGCTGAAAGCTATTTCTCTGTGTCAGTTTGATCTTCTTGATCCATTACATTTTCATGAGTTGCTTTCTACTTCAAGATGGAGGACTTTTCCAGGTTGTGGGAAGGTTTCTGTCTTCTCTGTGTTTTATTATGTCTTCTGGCCAATCTTTGGCAGAGTGGTTCATAGGTTTGAGTGACGTCATCATCACCAGCTCATAGGTTTGAGTGACATCATCATCACCAACACAGAAGCCGGGTCTTTCCTGTCCTTGCTCTCTCCCTCTTCCTGTTCCTTGTGTGTAATTAGTGAGGCCTTGGAAAAGACTCTGGCTGGCTTCCTAGAACCTTTTTTCTTTACCCATGAGCCCCTCACAGCCTCATGCTGTCCTGGGATGTCACTGTGCTCATGGTCCTGATGTTGGCAATCACGGCAGGAGTAAGAGTGAATGGTACTCAGTGAGAGGACTCAGCAATTCACAAGTGAGTCAACATCCCAATGAAAGACCCACCACACAAGCTAAAAAATTATCAACAGGCTTTTTTAAAAAATTGTATAAATGATTATTATTAACATACGTTTCCCTAGGGATTAAGCACATTATAGACTATCACACAAAGACTTTTTTTTTTCTCTTTTGTGCATTTTGCCCAGGAAAGAATAATGACACCCACAGAGATGATTCATTCTCCTCTTGCTTTAATTCCAAGAACAGTGAATACACCTCAACAAGGTCAAAACTGAGCTTCCAAGCTACTTTAGATTTTCACTAGTTACCTATTGTTCATGGATCTTTTATTTCTTCTGCACTTTAAAATATTCACAAGTGTGTGGAATGTGGCGTGGTAGTGGAGCACTTACCTCACATTCGCAATTCCCTTGGTTTGACTGTTGATATTTTTACTGTCTAAGATTATCAACCCTTAGCTTCAATTTTAACATGAACAGCTCGATTTTTTTTTGTCACTGATGAAAGAAGACAATGATGAGCAGACATTAATATTCTTGCATTCGTCTTTCATTACAAATTGAATATTAGTTCACTGTTTTTACTTTGAAGCAGTGTGGTGGGGTTGGCGAGATGGTTTAGTGGGTAGAAAATGCCTGCCACCGAGCCAAATGGCCTGAGTTCGGTCTCCAGGACCCCTACGGTGGAAGGAGAGAACTGACTCCTGAAAATTATCCTCTTGTGGCGTGCAGGTTGTTGAGGTGCCAAGCACGCCAGTGAGCTTGGCTACAGTCACTGTTTCTTTACGGGGCCCCACAGAGGAACGTGTTGTTCCTCCTCCCCTGTCTTTCAGCATCCAGTGAAAACTCTCAAGGGGATGGCGAATCAGTCTCAAACATGAGAACTCTATGTGTGATTCACAAGTGTGCTTGTTTGAAGACACACTAATGTAAACAATTTCAATTTTTTTTCTGGGAAAAAAAAGATGTTATATTATGAATGAATCAGAAACAATTATATTATATTATGAATGAATCAGAAACAATTATATTATATTATGAATGAATCAGAAACAATTATGGCAGAAAAAAAATGTCAGTGGATATGTGTTACATTGGATTCTTGATCCATTTGTTTATATTTTTTGTTTCTTCGGCGCTAAGGACCAAACTCAAGGCCTTGTGTCTGCTAAGCAAATGCTCTACCACTGAGCTAAGTACCTAAGCACTTGTATTAACCCATTTAATCTTTACTAAAACAAACAAAAGCCCAGCAGAAACTGGGATTAGAGTTCTGATTTCAGAGGTGAGGAAAGCAGAGGCGGAAAAGTCAGTAACTTGCTCGAGGCCACTCTACATAGCAAAGTCAAGGTTTGTGCCTCAGTCAATAACGTTGAGCCTTGTGCCTTTAGCTCAGATTCTTGCAGGCTCTCCTGGATCCGGAATAGCAGCCAAGACTCAAGTTTCCATTCTAAATCCACAACTTCCATATTTTCAGAACTAAAAATAAGACGTGGTATTTGACAATGGTCGGGGTATTTCAAGGGTTTTCCCCTGTGATGTGCAAGACGCAGTACAGCAGAGCTAGCGAGCGAGCGAGGCTCAGTCCCCCAGCAGTTCAATGAGGAGGAAGAATAGATGATGGGTAAGGTTTCTTCTCTACACAAAAACAGGAAGCCCTCCGGTGGGCCGGTGCTCTATAAAGCTCTATACCCCATGCCTGTACCGTGGACTTGTTTAACGTACCTCAGAGCAGAACCCTGACATTATCTGCATGGAGGAGATAAGAGAGCTCACCAGTATTCCTTGTCACCTGGCTCTCAAGCCTACGTCCTTCATTACTTGACTATTCCACCTTGTTTTTATAAACTTTAACAAAATTATACATAAAGAATATAAATTATACCACTACAGAAGTGCAGAATGGAACAAATTCTTTCTCAGAGATAAACTTCCTTCCAACGAGAAAGCAGACTTTGGTAAGTGTGCATGTGTGCATATGTATGCGCGTATGTGCGTGTGCACTATGCACTGAGGATTGAACTCAGAACCTTGCTTGTGCTGAGCACCTGTACCATCACTGAGCTACATCCTCTGCCTAGTATTTCAGACTGCTTTCTCTTTGTCTGTAAAAAGCTTCAGAGCCCTGAGCCTGGAGGTTCTTCCTGCTTTTTAACTTTGTTGTTGTTGTTGTTGTTCTTTGGAGGCAGGAGTCATATTGCCGAGACTTATCTTGCTGTGTAGCCAAGGATGACCTTAACCTTCATAAACTTCTCATCTCCACGTCTCCGCCTCCTAAATGCTGGCGTTGTAGAGTGTACATCACACCTGATTTATTTCATGCTAAGCATCTGAGCCAGGGCTTCGTGCATGCTAGGCAGGTACCCTCTCAACTGGGGATATGATCTCATATCCCCAGATCAAACTCCCTGTTTTTTTTTGTTTTTCTTTTTTTGGTTTTGTTTTGTTTTTTGTTTTTTGTTTTTTTGAGACAGGGTTTCTCTGTGTAGCTTTGCGTCTTTCCTGGAACTCACTCTGTAGCCCAGGCTGGCCTCGAACTCACAGAGATCCGCCAGCCTCTGCCTCCCAAGAGCTGGGATTAAAGGCGTGCGCCACCACTGCCTGGCAAACTCCTTGGTTTTCGAAAGAGCAAACGCACCATTAATTCTCCCAGGTTAAACTAGACTATGTTAACAGAAGAAGGTGAATGTCTGCTGTCTTTGCTGAGTAATTTCCTAATTCTCCTGAGGAGGGCAGATGAGGCAGGACCTCAGGGGACTGATAAAAGTCATTATGGAAGAGACAAGACTGAGAGAAAGATGTGGAAATGAGACTTCCCAGCCAGTCCCTGCTGCGGGTCTCTTGCCCTCCCTATGCTAGCCTGTGCTTCCTCCTCGTGGCCCGTTAGTCTGCATACAGTCAAACGGTAGCACTCTGTATGTATAATAATAAGGAAACCTCATTCGTTAGTTTTACAAGGGCTGGGACGTTCTGTGACATCTCCCTGACAGCAAACAGATTTTAAATGCAACAGGAACAGGAAAGCTCTCACCAGTCACAGCGATGCTGAGCATCCAGCCTAAGTTGACAGAGTCTACTTTCATTTCTTAAGTCCAGTTCCCACATGAGTCTCGGTTGTAAAATATGGGAGAATTCATCTGTGGGTCCCCTCCACATGTTTTCAAATGAAGCCAAAGTCTAGAGAAACGCCGAGGAAGAGTAAATCCAACGAGACAGTTAGGCGATCGGCGGGGTGACAGAGCAAAGGTCTCAAGATAAATGAGTGAGTGTCTGTGTGACAAACAGAAGCTTGTGAACAGCCATAGCCCCCCCTTTTCGAGCAACCCTCACAACTTATTTTGCCATAGAGGAACTTAAGTGTTACAATAGCTGGTCAGCCAATCAGCGGCACTCCGGCGCCCCAGCACCCTGGCCGCAGATCAGGAAGCCCTTGAAGGTATAGTATTTTAACATGCAAGGGAGACTTCTGGCTCTCAGCTGGCTTTGTTGTTGTTGTTGTTGTTGTTGTTGTTGTTATTGTTGTTGTTCCCTGTGCTTGTAGGATGGAAAAACAGATGTGAAGTCCCTCATGGCGAAGTTCAACACAGGGAATAACCCGACAGAGGAGGTCTCTATCAACAGCAGGCCCTTCAAAGCTGCGGGACAAAACGCGCCTACGGGAATACAAGCAAGAAAGAATTTATTTGACAGCCAAGGAAATGCCAGCCCTCCCGCAGGACCCAGCAACACGCCTAAATTTGGGACCACAAAACCACCCTTGGCAGTGAAACCTGTCTATGAGGATAAGTCTGACAAGGATCCCAAACCCCCATTTTTAAAACCTAGTGGAGTGAACCAAAGATTTGGAACACAGCCAAACTCGGCTTCCAGAGACCCTGAGGTCAAAGCAGGGTTTCTGAAACCTGTAAGCCCCAAACCCACCAGCTTGACTAAAGAAGATCCCAAACCGGCATTTTTACGGCCTTCTGGGAATAAGCTTCACAATTTGAACCAAGAGTCTGACTTAAAGGCGCCAGGACCAAAGCCAGGACCAACTCCCCCAGTCCCAGAAAATGATCTAAAGCCAGGGTTCTCCAAGGTGGCCGGAGCAAAGAGTAAGTTCATGCCAGCGGCACAAGATGCTGACGCCAAACCTCGATTTCCCAAACACACCTTTGGCCAGAAGCCATCCCTGAGTACGGAGGACTCCCAGGAAGAGGAGAGTGCCTCTAAGAATGTGGCTGCCCAGAAAGGATCCCCGGGGCCACTAGGAGCCAAGTGCAAGGGTGGCCCTTTCAAAGCAGCGAGGGAAGACACAGAGGACAAAGACGGTGGAGTATCAAGTTCGCCCTTTGCTGGGGTGGTTCTGAAACCCGCTGCAAGCAGGGGAAGCCCGGGCCTCTCCAGAAACTCTGAGGAGAAAAAAGAAGATAGGAAAACAGATGTGACCAAGAACATCTTTCTGAGTAAAATCAATCAGGAAGAGCCAGCCAGATTCCCTAAGACCCCTTCCAAGCTGACAGCAGGGACGCCATGGGGCCCCAGTCAGGAGAAGGAAAAGGGAGACAAGAATTCAACAGCCCCCAAGCAGAAGCCTTTGCCTCCCCTGTCCGTGTTGGGTCCGCCTCCACCCAAGCCCAGCAGACCACCCAACGTTGACCTGACCAGATTCCGAAAAGCTGACTCTGCAAACAGTGAGTTGTTTCTCATGGCTATAGTAACTGCGGTTTGCTCACAGCAGAGAGTGTTGCAGCTTTTAGGAGAAACTTTAGAGCTGGGAATGGTTGCATAACTGATACCCATGTGAGTATAGGGTCAGTTCTCCTTTGGTGTTTTTTCCTCTTTGTGTAGGAGGTCTGAGAAAGTAGAAAATCCAAGTTCTATTTGAGTATTCTCTGAGAAAGTGCCTTGTGTGGGGGGTGAGGGGAGGACTGACTTCCTAAGGGGGAGAATGGGAAAGAAATACATCTATTTGTCTGATAAGGGGTTTTGCTTAAGGATAACTGTTGGATTTACTCCCTTGGTTGTGTTTCATTTCTACTGGTTGAGAAAGATGCACAGCCCACAAACAGCCAAAGAGAGAAGGGGGCAGACTTCTAAGTCAGTATTCTAGAAGGGGTCAAAGTTGATGACCAAAGGATGTATGCATTGTCTGGAGGCATTTTTGACTGTCACAATGGACTAGGCTAATGACATTTTGTACATAAAGCCACCTCCTACAACACAGTAGCAGCCCCTTATCCAGGTCAAAAGGTCAATGCTGCAAATACTATTTACCGTGAAACCCAAGATTCAAGTAGGAGAGTTATTAGGAGATAGTATTTCATATTTTGTATTTTAGCTGTTTTGTAATTTCCCAAAAATGTCTCTACTACTGCAGTTTATAAAGGCATACATAGCTATAAAATGAAGGTAGACAAAGGGTGTTTTGTTGTCCCTCTAGAAGACTGGTCCAATTTTCTTCCCAAGATGTCATCATAATATTATGGTGTGTGGGTGGAATTTGATACTGAACATCTCAGTAAATATTTATCACCCTGTGTCATGACGAGAAAAACTCACTCGTGCCTGCAGTGATTAATATCCTAGCAAATGGCGTCCAGGTGCTGTCCCTTGTAAGATGGAAAATGAATGATACTTACAAGTGACCATCCCACTGCAAGTCATATGCTTTTCCAAATAAAATTATCATCTAAATCTATGTATGGTGGGATAGGCCTGTGATTCGGGGGTTGGGAGGTGAGGGCAGGCAGATCAGAAGTTCAAAGTCTTGGGACTACCTTAGAGAGTTTGAAGCCAGCCTGAGCTACTTGAGATTCCACCTCAAAGTATTTTTTTTTAATCTAGTCTGATTAAAGCAGATTTAGGCATAACTACTGTCTCTGAATGATCTTCACACAGGCTCTCTCTGCCTGGTAAGAGAGAACAGAAGGTGAAGTCTAGGTGACACAAGGCTGTCATAACCCTCAGATTGTGCTACCTGCCCTTGCTAAGGCCAAGAGAAGGCATCCGATTCTACTAGAGGTGGAGAAAGATTACAGAGCCAGGTTCCCATGGCTATTAGCCCAAGACTGGTCTCCTCAAGGGCAGTTTGTCTATAAGAAGTAGTTCCCATCTTGATTAACTAAAATTCACCCAATGTAATGTGTGTATTCTCCAACCCAGAATAGCAACTTGCAGGGAAATTTCCAGATGTCTGCTATAGCCATCAAGGTTTTCTGAGTCCACAGCTTTTTCTCCAGCTCTAACAAATACCTATGACAAACTGCCCTGGCTAGATTTAAGGTTTCACACTGAAGAAACTTGGGATAAATTCTCTGCTGCCTGGGACAATTCAGAATATTAGCCATTCACTTGTAATAAGGTGGGAAAGAAAAGAGATTGTGTGCTTTGAAAAAGATGAGGTTTACCAGATGTTTATCAATGATTTTTTTTCAATCTACTAAGTTGTAAGGATACTAATTGGAGTAAAATGCTTTGCAGTGACCATAGAGACTTACTCTAAGAAGATCATTTTTTATTGTTGCCAAAACTAATCACAATAGTTTTCAAATTAGCAAAATTCTAAGTAATTGTTCAGTTGGCTTTTAAAAGGCTAATAATCTTTCCTACTTCCTGCTTCGTTATTCCTTTTTTATTTTATATCCAGATAAATATTTATAATTTATAGAGGACTTTTTATATAACATTATACAATCCAACTCTATTTATTCTTTGTAAGCAATGAAATGGAATTATATCCCAGCACAATTAGGGAATTTGCCCAAATTGTATCTTACCTAAGCAGGGCCATGACTGGTTCTCATGTCTCTCTGATTCCATAGACTATATGCCCATCCCTGTCCCAGTCTCCATGCTGGCTGCCTTTCAGGAAATATAAAACCCCTTGAAATGATAAATCAGGCACAAATGGTACCCAAAGACTCTGCATTCCTGTTTTTTTTGCTCTGTCTTTTGATTAAAACATGTCTTTTAAAAATTATTATAAATAGAACTGTGAGTGCCATTAAAGTAGAAATCAGTTAGTTTACCATTCTTCTCTCATTTGTAGAACAGAAAATATGAATTTTCATCATTTTCCTATGCTTATACTCCCACGGAGGTATATTAATATGAAGTTAGTTGCCCCCAACTTTTCAGTATTAAATTACAATCCTCTCTATAGTTTACTAATTACTTTAGCAGATTGTCCGTACATTCAATTAAATGGAGCTCTGACACAAAATGAATTTTACACAAAGTATCCACCCTGAAGAGATCTTCTCAGTGTCTCACCTGTAAACTGTCAACATGCACATAACACATTGTTTTCTGAATGTGGAGCTAATAACTTTTTTGGTTCCTCCAACTTTACCGACACTAGAACCATTTATAACTACAAAACTGTAAACGCTTTTTTAATTGAAACATCAAAATGTCCTCTACACTCACCTTTCTTTTGACTCCCTTCAAAGACTTCATTCTAGGGGTTCTGGTACAATTCACCATAATGTCTGGGTTCTTAAATACCCCACCAGGCCCAGCTGTTGGGTAGCTACTAGGAAGCATTCAGTTCAGCCCTCTTTCTTGTTCTTGTAACACTAGAAAGAAACACTAACTGAGCTGGGCGGTGGTGGCGCACGCCTTTAATCCCAGCACTCGGGAGGCAGAGGCAGGCGAATCTCTGTGAGTTCAAGGCCAGCCTGGTCTCCAAAGCGAGTTCCAGGAAAGGCGCAAAGCTACACAGAGAAACCCTGTCTCGAAAAACCAAAAAAAAAAAAAAAAAAAAAAAAGAAACACTAACTGTTCTGTATGTTAACTATGGAAATAATCAATTAAGTACCTTAACAGTTACAGGAATGAATCTGGGGCCAGCATTAACCAAAGGTTATTAGAATAGTGTGCCCCCTCCTCATTTGTACGCATGCTCCAACTAATCCACCCAACAGGAACTTGACATCAAGAAGAGTTGGGGTTGGGAACAGCGAGATAGCTCAGGGGTTATGAATACTTATAGCTCTTGCAGAAGACCTGGGTTTGGTTCCCAGCACTCACTGGGCAGCTCACAACCATCTGTCACTCCAGTTCCAAAGAACCGTACTCCCTCTTCTGAGCTCCATGGGCACCAGGCACACATGTAATGCACAGACATATATGAAGGCAACCACTCATAAAATGAAATAAATAAGCCTTAAAAAAAAAAAAACCTAAAAAGAACTTGAGCTGTGATTGGAGCAGAGTTCAGCTGGAGAGTCCCCACCCTTAGTACCCTAAGTGGGAAAAGCAAAGGACTATGTCAACAACAAATGACCTATTTCTAGGAGAGGGTGAGACTTTCCTTCACAGATCCCAGAGCTATCACAACCTCCTTCTGGTCCATCATTTTCCTTTTACACATACTTTTGTAATATGATCTTATTGGTTTTTTTATATATATACTGAAAAGTGATTTATCTCAGTGTGTAGCAGTATTTCCCACATTATTGCTGCAGGCCATTATAAGAACAGGGATTCAAGGCTCAAATGGATTTTAAAGATTTGAGGGCAAATCGTTTTCCAAACAGCCAAGTTTCTCCACAGTTAGCAATAGCACTGTATACCTACCTGGAAGTTAAAAATGAGGTTTACCTAGAGTAAATCCAAAGATGTCTCATTGGAATATCTCAGGACACTACCCCTGAATGTGTGTCCAGTGTGTACATGAATCAGAACTCACTCAGCTGGGTGGTTCAGCCTCAAGGGACAATGAGGCATCTCCAGATTGAGCTAGACTCTCCCAATCCGATGTTTGTGCACTTTGAGACCGGAGCCTAGGCTTAACTTCAATTCTCTCACCTTTCTTGACTCTGGCCAATCTGTCTTTCAAAATATTTCTGGTCCTTCCTTCCATTCCAGGTTGCAACCCCTGAGGAACCATTTACTATTAACTAATCAGCCAGCTCACCTGGGTTTACCCCTTAAGATAAATGTCTTGGAAAGGCTCCCTTCAAAGTGCAAGTCCTAGGTCAGATCTGAGCTACCCTATTCTTGGTCTTCTCTCAGTGAGTTCTAGATATCTCTCCTCTGCCCAAGATAGAACTGATCCTCAGAATAAACCCAGTTCTTTTGAGTAAATCACCCCATGAAGGTTTATATCCCAACAGCATTGTTGGGCTTTGTAAAATCCAACCTCTCATCATTTCAACAAGTATTTACACAGTCTCTATTTTCTATTTCTGCCAGCAAATTTTACTGTGGGAAAGTCTGAGGCTATCCTGAATTAACTCCCTTGAAAATTACTTGCTTTCTGTCAGAATTCTCAGAGAAATCTTTGTCCTGGAAGCATAACTATTTAGCAACACTATGTCTGTCTGTCATTTGATATCAGTTATTACCTGAGAGATGCTGGCCCTCTGTTCTTCTCCAGCTCTTCCAGAGATCTTCATTTCCATACACACAGGGATCACACCATTACTTTTGGTTTGGCAGATGCATGATGTGAGCATCTAGAAACTCTAATCCAGGGTGGTAAATCTGTTCTCCCCCTCAAACTATGATTTGAGGTCTAAGCATTGCTTTAAAGGCTCCTCTCCATTGTTTTCTAACTGTTTGGGATTTGAGGATAGCCCTTGCTGGGAACCAGATTCTGATGGTCTCTGAGTTCGGCGCTCTGTCCCAGGCATTACAAGGCCAGCTTTCACCACTGGTCCTTTTGTGGTATTTAGGACCTCTCTGT